TTGAAAAGTGTTATCAATAAATTTTCCGTTTATAAAAAATGTAGTTGTTGAGCAATAAAAGAGATAATATTCTTTTTTGTTTTAATTATTTTTATACCTCACTTTATTTTGTTATTACTTGTAACAAAACTATTATATGGCCCTCGACAACATCAATGATTTTAGTTTTGGCCTTTGAGGCATTGCAAGTTGGACACCCCTGATATAGAGGGTCAATATTAATTTATGTTTTTATAAAAAAACGATCTAACCAAGCTATAACAGACTTTTCACATTTAATAGGATTTTAATTATGTATAATTTTTACACCTTACTATGAATTAACTATATTAAAATAACCTTTATTACCCAATATGCATGGTCCTAAAAATACATATTTAGACTAATGAATTTTTAATATCTTGATATAATTATAATAATTGTGTTTAAAATAGTACTTATTCGATTCATCCGGTACGCATTAACAAGTACCATATGGCATTGACAATTGAATTGTTACATCTAACACCGATCATTATTTATATTCAAAATAGAACACAATAAATGAAATATTATTATAATAAAAAAACAACACATTAGACAAAATATAGATTGAATACGATTGTTCAAGTAGCGTGAATGAGGTTCAATTTTGATGTGAAGTAGGAAAATGATGTATTGTGTAGTCTATTTATTTCTACACTATAGGTACTACACATTACTTCCAAATAAATGTAGTCCATTAAAATGTTACAATTTTTATGCCTTAGCGTGTGCATTGCTTAGAGGACACAATTTTATTTTTTTGATCGGGGGGGGGGGGATAAGTATAATCTAAAATTCAAATTGGTGGCGTCGCAACCCTAATCCCCCGGCCGCCATCTTGGAAAAAGGGAAAAAGAGTTTTCGCGATTTATCTCGTAAACTAGAAGCTCTACAGAAAATGTTTTTAGACATTTTTTGTAAATAATTAAATTGTGACTGTCGTTGCGGAGAACATTAATATTCTCATCTTCCTCACGACATTAGGAAGGAAGTAGTCCAATGTTGTGTCCAAAATGTCGAAATTTTTTAAACCTTTTAAAGGATGTAAGTTGAATCAACTACACTGTCCTCCCAGTTTTATTTATAGCGACGTCATTGCAGAGAATTTGCTGTTTCCTTATGCTTATTCAGAATGCTACACAACATTAGTAGCTTAAATTATGGACAAACTTAAACTCTCTGGTCATATAAAACAATAATAAGGCCCATGGTCACATACGCATCATTCCTATGGTGGCCAAAAATACAACAAACAACAGCTAACGCCAAGCTGAAAAAAGTGCAGCGGTTAGTTTGTCTGGGAATCACAGGGGCAATGTCAACATATCCCACTGCAGCTCTAGAGGCGATGATGAACCTTCCTCTCTCGCAGTTCTGCATAAGGGGGGAGGCAGTAACTACCGCCTTAAAACTACGACAGACACAAATAATAAATCCTGGAGATCTAGGTGCCCACCTGAAAACCAGAAGAAATTCCATTGGATACTAAGGACATGCCGACAGATGCTATGTCAGTAAATTTCGACTTTGAAACACCCTTGGAAGTTATCATAAAATGCCACCAAATGAGTGAAGAAATTGAACCAAAAGTGGAAGAAGGTTCACTCGTATGGTATACGGATGGACCTAAGATAGATGAAAGGGCAGGAGTGAAAGTTACTGGACTCAATTTCAGGCTATCTAAATCTTGGAAACGCCCCAACTATCTTCCAGGCAGAAATACATGCTATAGACTTAAGTGCCCAAGAATACCTCAACCGAGACACCTGTAGGGCAAAAGTCTTTATTTTATCAGACAGCCAAGGTGCCTTACCGGCTCTTAAGTCATTTACATGTGAGTCAAAGTTGGTTTGGAACTAAACAATCTCTAAAACTTCTAAAACTAAAACCGCCTTCTCGAAATGAGTAAAAAAGATATTAAAATGGTCACTGGCCTTCTCACTGGTCACTGCCCTCTAAGATATCATATCAAAAAGATGAGCAAATCAGATAGTTAGAACTGTCGTTTCTGTCACAATGATAAAGAAACGGCAGAACATATACTATGCAACTGCGTTACACTGTTCTGAAAACGACTAAAATTCCTAGAAGAGGTCAGTCTGGCGTTCTCTGACATAGGAAACAAGTCACCTAGGAAGCTAATCAACTTCATCAGAAGTATTGGTATTCTAGAATTTAACCTAATTAAGGTATGAATAAAAGATCTCTAGGTCGAAGTGCGGTGAGGCCGCATGGCCTTATCGACCTCACATAATCTTATCCTATCTAATCTAACTTATCTTATGTAATCTAACTTAAATTCATCAAAATTGTACAAAAATATCCTGAGTTAGAGCGGAACAGCAATCTTTGAGGCGAGACATAAGAAAATCAAACCATGTTTGCTCACTGTCATTGGTGAACATTTTTTTGTCCCTTTATATGATCGAAATAAAGATAATTCTCTAACGGCGTGAGAGACAAACGATTCGCTAGGACACTGGGCAAAATAACTTTTAACTTATCATCGCTTCGGTCAACACAAGATGTATCCACAGTGTTTAGGCTGATTATTTATAAACTTTAGGTTGGCGTTGGCACTAAAAATTACATCTAAATTTCTAACCGTAATAACTACGATTTATTGTTTTAGATCTTTAACATGAAAGATGGAAAGTCTTTATGTGACTATCTAAAAACTGCATCTGATATTTATTATGAACTTATACCAAAGCAGTTTCGCATGTTGGTTTTTTAATATGCTACGAGCTACGACTCTTAATATTACGATTCCAACATTTGGGTCTACAAACCAAATGGCAGGGCCTAATTGGTTTACTTCGTTCTTAAAACGACAACAGACATTATCCATTAGAACTCTAGAGGCTACTAACCAAGCTAGAGCTTTAAGTTTTAATGAAATGTGTGACAATTCTTTAAAAATCTTAAAACACTTTAAGACCGACTGACATTAACTGCGAGTGACCGAATATAGGTCTCTCCTAATTCTCGCCATTCATCTCTGTTGTTTGTAAGACGTTTCCACATTGACCCTGAAGTTCTGTTAATATCGTCACTTTATCGCATCTGAGGTCTTTTTGCTTCATATGTGCTGTTTTAGTGTCAGAAAATTCAATTCCTTCGTATTTCATATTTCCTAGTAAAAATTATCGAGCACACTTTGTTGGAAATGGACCACCTGGCAGTATAGATGATGAAAATCCCTCAGGATGGATGACCGAGACATATTTTATAAAATTTGCAAAGCATTTTATACACAACGTAAGATGTTCAAAAGAAATACCAGTGTTAATGTTGCTCGATAATCATGATTCTCATTTGTCAATGACAATTATGATTATTGAGTCTCAACAAGACGAAGTTACTACTTTATCGTTTCCATTTTATTGCAGCTACAAACTTCAGCCTTTAGACCAAAGTATAATTTATGGTTCTCTAAAAAAATATATCAACACCACTTGCGATTTATGGATAACTAATAAAACGGGTCAAACAATGACCATATATGATATTCCATCGGTGGTGAAGTCAGCTCTACCCAATGCAAGTACTCCAAGGAATATCATGGCTAGTTTTCAAGTATCTGGAATAAGTCCATTTAATTCGGATGTATCCCCTCTGGATTAGTTTATGGCTACTTTTGCTACAGATCAACTAATTCAAACTTCTGCACTCATTGATTAATTTCGACCGGAACCAGATGAAGTTACTGTGCCAATTAACCATCCTCTACCTGATTTAAATCTGTCTTTGCAGTAGTGTGATCCGCCTTCACTAGTGCCAATTGAAGTCCGCCAGCTCAGGTTAATTCACGATCTATTCCTCCTCCAATATCAACTACCAAATTCTACCGTGTAGTATCAGCAACTACGCCTATATCATCTGTTAACGATGCATCGGCTTAATCCTTTTCTGATGGTGCCTCTGCCCTTCCATCAACTTCCAGCAACAATTTATTGACAAACTTAAGACCATTCTCTTAAGCTGGCTATAGAAAAACAAATACCAAACGAGGAAGAAAAGACGTTCCACTGCAATTCTCACAGACACAATAATCAAAAAAGCTTTAAACGAGGAAAAAAGTAATACAGGAGAGGAAAGCAGCAGTTACTGCTAGAAAAGAAAAAAATAATCGCAAAAAACTCTGCTTTTACTTCAACCAAAACGACGGTTTATAATACTGAAAAAGATTTATTCAAGAAAACAATAAAGAAGAAGCGCCCATTAACAGCAGGGGGGTGTTTTTCAGAAAAATGTGTCTTTTTAAATGTATTGAAATTATACAGTTCAGGAAAGTCTTGGTCATCAAAATTCTTAAACCTATTTTCCATTTGTTGGTATATTTGGTCTAAAATCTGATAATATAGTCGGCGGTAGCATGATTCAACATCTCCAACATTATCAGTGCGTATGCGTTTCCTTTTAGGCTCAAAACTTCTTGCCATCATATTATTCCAGCATTTTCAGAGTCATCTCTCTTTTTGTTAATAACATAATAGAAAATTATCGGAAAAAACTCAGTTTCTACTTCAACCAAAACGATGGTTAATAATACTGAAAAAGATTTATTCAAGAAAACAATAAAGAAAAAGCGCCCATTAACAGCAGGGGCGTGCGGTGAAATTTAAAACAAGGGAAGCAATTTATAAAAAGAAAATGTAAAAAACTCACCTATCTATAATGTAATTCAATTCTTCTACCATTTTTCGCAAACTCGTCTATAACTTCATTGTAAAAACTTGGATATTGTGACATTTCTTCTACCAGATCATTTTCAATTGCCAAAATAGAAACATTAGAGAGTCGAACTTGTCCTGTCCAGTTTTTTAAGTAAGTCTTTATTCATTTTAGTGTTGAAAAGCTACGTTCTATAGAGGCAATAGTAGCTGAAATGCTCAATAATAACTCACATAATTTCACTACCTCCGAATATGCTTTATACAAAGAAGTTGTTTTTAAAAACTTTAGTAACTCACTGGCATTCTTTGTTGTATCAATGTCTTCAGTTTTGTATAAAGCTGTTAGCTCAGAACGTAATGAAATCAAATCAAAATATTGTCCATAAAGACATTTCAAAGATTTTATTTGTTTTTCAGGAAAATGTGTCTTTTTAAATGCATTAAAATTACACAGTTCAAGAAAGTCTAGGTCATCAAAATTCTCAAACCTATTTTCCATTTGTTGGTATATTTGGTCTAAAATCTGATAATATAGTCGGCGGTAGCACGATTCAACATCTCCAACATTATCAGTGTCTATGCGTTTCCTTTTAGGCTCAAACATTCTTGCCATCATATTATTCCAGCATTTTTTAAAGTCATCTCTCTTTTTGTTAATAACATCTTTAAATTCGGTAATTTTTTTATACAGAAACCAATATCGTTTATCTTGCATTGTAGTGCACTAAATAAATTATCTGAGAATGGAAATATTAGTTTAGTTTAGAATAAGTTTAGTTTGTGAGCAAAACAGTGTATACATATTGCACTAGGACATGTTTCTCGCACTTTCAATTGTAGACCCGCCAAATGCCCAGCCATAACTGCAGCGTTGTCATAACTTTTGGCAATTAACTTATCATTACCATTAATCGATTTTAAAAGTTCACAAACAATTTTATATAATGCGTCTGCCCTTCTATCTTCTGATATATTTATAAAACCTAAAAATATTTCCTGTATAATTCCAATTGTATTAACCAATCGTACTATTGCAGAGAGCTGGCTAAAATTGGTAACATCAGTTGTTCCATCTAAAATAATTGAAATGAAGCGTGTTTGTTTAATTTCATCAATTATTTTGTTTGAAACTACTGTCGAAAAAGCAAAAATCAAATCATTCTAAATTCGATTTCAGGTGCCTTGAAACACACTGGACTGTTCTAAATGAGTGTTTTAACAAGGATCGTACTTAGAAATTAGTAAAACAAGATCCATCTAATTGCCCCTATTTGATTATGTACTGGTTTCGTCGTGACCTCTAAACCCAAGTTAATGGAAACATAAAAAACACATAGCGTCAATGTCAATAAGTCTTTTCAGCACGTCTCTATTTTTATCTAATTCATTACTAATTCAAACTAGTTCATTATGTTTTTGATGGCTACCTTTTAATGAATTGTCCCAAGTGTGTGCTATTCTACGTTTTCCAAAAACCTTCTCTTTGATGACGGCCTGCAAGTGAGCTTTAGACATGACGTCTAAATGTCGTTTCACTATCTTATAAAAATTGTTTAAATCGTTAAAACCACTATGATTTGAACATAATTTTGATTCACAAAGAACAAACAACACCAGCGAAAGAGTTTATTCCTAAATTTACAACCAGTTAGCTACTCGTATTGTTAGTAAGATTTTACCGAATTAAAATGTCGGAAGCAAGTTTTTATTTTGGTAGTAAGATTTTTCATTTCAGGCTTCGACCTACCTTTAATTATAAAAAAAACAGTAATACCTCAGCTTCTTTTACCAATTATTTTATTATTTTTATTAATAATAATAGTAATTGGTATTTTTATTTTAGGTCGATTGTTTTAATATTAAAAATAAAAGATAAGAACAGTTGATTTAAAAATATTAAAAGTATCGATCGAAGAAAGCTGTAATATCATCGTTTTCTCTATTCGTGACATGTATATATAATATAGTACCTTTATTAATTATATTCCATTTTCACCAAAATTCAACGAACTAAAGCATTTCTCTAATAACAAACATATCACACATTTAAACACTTCAGCTAATTCCACAAAATCAGTCGCCAAAAACACCATTTTCAAACTTCGTAATCAATTGCCACGGTTGTTTATAAAGCAACAAATACGGTCAACTTATCCTTTGCTTCTCAGTGCATTTCGCTTCTCAGTGCTGTAACCAGGGTTATTTTTACATAAGGCAGAAGAAGCAACTCTGGACGTGGATTATCCCGAAATAACTATTCGAGCAGCAAAGCTAGAGATATGCACAGGGTTGGAACGAGCTCGCTGCTCGTTCTATCTTATTCTCGTATGTAGCTTAAAAGGCTGCTTATATATGTGTTGGTTTAAATTATTTTCTGTTAAATATTCTCAGTTACTCGGCTAGTACGCTATTACTACAGAAACATAGGGAAGCAATGCTTCCCTTGCTTCCATACACCATATGCCCCTGATTAACAGTATCTTCAGATGAAGACTCAAACCAGGATAACGATTTCTGTCTAGTTTGCATAAAGCCACATTCCAATAGTCGCCCTGGAGAACAGTGGATCGAATGGAAGTAGAAATACTAACAGTATTTTTAAATATAGATCTAATTATTTTATTAACTAAAAATAATATGTAAACACGCATGGGATAATGAACCTAGGGTTCAATGGAATAATTAAAATGTAGTCCTAAAAGAAACGGATGGTAAAAAAAGAAAAATCAAAGAAGCGGCTCTAATTATGCTAAATGAGGCCAATTGTGTTGCAAATTCCTCGGCAGAATGTAGTAGGATCTGGTTACCAATATTGAAAGAGGAAGGTATTAATAAGAAAATACCAGTATTAGTAAGTCAGTAACATATAGAGGATACATCATTTATATTTTTTAAATAACAAAACAAATAAAATCAGAATTTTGGTGTTTATTGAAGGTAAACTAAATGCACGAACAAATACTTACCATGTCGGGATAGTATTATGATGTTTTTTTCCTGATTTTTCCCTCATAATTTACTATGGAATCACTAACAGGAGAATTTTACTGTCATCATGTCATGTGTTTGTCTTTTTAAAGACGAATTACATGCTATGATTTTTTTTTCTGACGGATATTCTCAAGTTAAAGTTGATTTCATGTAATCGAATGAACTATCTTATAAGTAAAGTCGTTCCAGGTGCGCAACTCAACAATATTGGCAATATCATTTTAAAGTCGTCTACTTTAAAATGCATAATGTATGTCTGAATTGTCAATGTAAATGAGTCAGATAAAATTAAATTATTAGAAGAATTTTTCACTATGTAACAAAAAACAAAATTTGTTTAATTTACAGTTTGTATTTTAAGAACGATTTCCGAAGTGGAAATTGAAACGTCAATAAACGTATTTTTATCTTTAATTGTGGCTTATTCCCAGTTAAATAGTAATTTAAAAAAATAAAGTTGTTTGAATTCATACCTCCTTATTAAATACATTTACCCATATTTTTTCGGCTTCTATTATTTTATATACCTACTTATTATTGGAGTGCACCAGAAGAAAAAAAACAAAAATCATCTGTCATGGGAAATTATATGAAAGAGTAATACTTGTATTTAAAAAATTCAACATAAAATTAAAGTGAGTAACATAGTTTGATGAGTTCTAATCCTTCTATAAATCATTCGATACGTCATCATCATACATTTTTAAAACAAAAGTTTAAGCAAGTACAGAAATATGTAATCAAAATTGTTGAGGCATACGTTCACAATTACAACTTGTTAATATTTGTCAGTGACAAGTTGTTATTAGCTAATGCAAATCAATATTTAGATGAACTCGTGAAGATTGTCTGGTCTATATAAAAACATTACATAATAATTATTGCACGGGCATTCAGAGTCAACCATACTATATGCACAATCCTCAACAAATCCAATTTCAAACAAAAGCATTTTTTAGTGTGACAATGGGCGATGGACAATACGTTATTGTCAATTACACAAAGAGATTTAAATCAGTGTTTACACAGCGTTAAACGCAGGCAGTGTCCTTTCAATCAATTTGTTTCCCGACGCAGTCTATTTTCATGATGCCTCAAAGTGAGCACGTCAAAAGGCCGATGAATGCGTTCATGGTATGGTCCAGGATGCGCAGAAAACGAATTTCGCAAGTAAGTGCAAATGAATTACTAGCCAGTATGGTTCTTTATGTAACTAATGTGTTAAAAGTTAAGCTACCAATTAAAAATTACTGTTTGCAGTAACTTTCTTAGAAAATAGAATTACATTTTTTAACAAAGATCAGGTTTGATTGCAATTTTTTTTTACCCGAATACCGATGTAGGTATTTTTTTTTATAAATTCTCACAATGTCTTTATAATTTATAGTAGTTTTTATTATATGTATTCAATCATTATTTATCTTGTTTGATTTAATCATATTTAATGTATATTTATATCAATTGTTTTTTGTTTCTCCTTTTTCCAGAGTCCCTCTAACTTTCAAAGCTACTTTTTAGGTTGTTTTACGTTGCAACCATACCACTCTCTTAGATTTTTTAGAGCAGCAATAGTCATTTGTGTCTCCACGCTCCTTTTATCTTCTTTTTTGCTTAGAGTATGAGCCACAAGAGGCTATATTTTTCTTCACCCATATCATGCTTCCATGATATTGATTTTTTTTATTATTGACCTTTCACGTTCTTTGACTTCATTTTTCTTAACAGTTCAACGTTTTGAACGTAACCCATAAACGAGATCTTCAGAATACTTTTATACGACCACATCTCAAAGGAGTTAGTAGAGAATTTTTCCTATCATTTTTTGATTTAGCGACCACGATGCATCTTCATATTTTATAACATTACATAGGTAACATCGAGTTAATACAGTCAATGATATTTTTAGAGCTTGTTGTTGCACAATTTTACAAATTATTCGCTATACTTCGATATCATCAGCATACTTTATATTGTTGATTAAAACCAACTTGCTTTTATTTCTGCTGTTTCTGATTCAATAGCTTTCAGAACAACCTCTTTAGAGTTAATAATGGAGAAGACAATATACACCCTTGTCTAACTTTACTGATTGCAATGATTTCTTCGCACAGTTAATTCTGTTGACCGTTTTGTTGTAGTCTGTGAAGTAGATGTATTGTAATGTTAAGTTTTTATTAAAGTATGGGATTTTTTAATAAGTTTACTAAAAGCAAATAGTGCTTGCCTTATATGCCTTGTGCTCATACTAATGGCAGTTTGGAGTTTAAAAGTATTTTTACCATATGAAATTACAATAATTATTTCTGAGTCCTATGATTTGTGCCAGTTCGAAATAGGGATCTAAGAAATGAGATCAATCCAATAATTATAATTCATATCCAAAACTAGCACAAAGTTAATCATGCCTAATACATCGTTTTGGGCTAATTGTTCAAAGCTAACTTCTACCTCCGATAGAAAGCTCCAGTGCGATGGCTGTAAGAAACCAATACACATTACTTGTACGGATCTGTCGGTCGATGATCGAGTTACGAGGCAAAAAGTATGTGGGATATGTATACTATGCAATGCATGCAGTTCAAACATTACGAATATTACTGAAATCAAGAGTCTACTTGTCGAGTTTAAAGCGGACATTAAGAAGAAAATTGAAGATTTTGATATTAAACTATCTGAATTCAGCAATAAATTAAATCAACTCGATTCTATTAAAACAACAGAATA